CGAGGGGCATGTAGGGCAAACTTTGGGACATGCCTAGGGGTAGGCGGTTGTCTTTTTCAGCCCTGTTTGCTCCAACACGGACTTGAACTCACAATGTTCTGACCTAAAGGTGAGAGTGTGACCGACTGAACCAGGTTTACCGCTCATTATTTTCACAGAGATATAAAATGGATTCTAAAGAGCTCGAGACACCAACCTCCACAGCATCTGAGAGCTATCAGACTAATTTTGCACTAAAATTGAAGGGTTGCACAGAGTGGGGGGAAAATTATTCACTTCTTTATTTTCCGCAGTTCTTAAAAAGATTCCAAATTAGGACTGAACTTGAGAACTTTATACAATTCGGTAATGATCTCACATCTGAAGACAATAACTTGCATTTATATAGCGCCCTTCAAGCAGGGAAGCATCTCGGAGCGTTTAAGACAACATAGTCCCACAGACTATTACTTGGTGACATTTCAGACCTCTGTACCCAAAAAGGTACATCAGGAACTGTCGTGTCAGAATCTCAGTTCAGATAGGAAACACAGAAATGTTCCTATTGCCAAGGAAACCTGGATCATGCGTTCTTTCTACAATAAGCTGGAAGGTAGTTTTAGGCTGCATTTACCTTATCAGACTTTCTTGTAACCGTGCCTAACTTTACAAATTTCCACTGTGATGAAAGAATATCAGGATCACAGCGATGGCAAGACTATTACTAGGAAATGTCACTTACTAACCATTGAGACCTATTGCAGTATACATCACCAGTTAGGCTCTCGCACGCACTCCTCTGCGTGACCATGTGAAATTCAGAGCTCAAAATACCAACTTAAAAATGAAGGAGAGAAGGAATAAACCTCACTGATCTTGGGATTTAAAAAGTACTTTACAATTCTTTTGCCTTCCAGTTAAAGGGATTTTATTGCATTAGCTTGATGAGCTGTTTAACCCCCCTGCTGTGTGCTGTAGTGTAAAAGCAGTGAGTTAAAGATACCTGGAGCATTTTGAAATGGAGTTAAATGAGCTTAAGGACCACTTAAAGCAGCAGAACCCAACAGCGCAACTGTTACAAGTATTCTGAACCTGCAACACCAGGACCGCAAATACATCTTAAATGTTAAGAGCTATTATGGGACCAAGTACTGGACCTGTGAGCGTAGCTCCTGAATGGATCAGACCAAACCGATTACAATCTCAATACCATTTAAAAGAAAAAAAATACTTGTGTTCATCTCCTCAGATGAGCTGAGGCTTTTGTTCCTCTTGTTCGTCATTGGAATCTGATAAAAGGAGACCTTTATCTATGGAAATAGCCACGTGTCCCTCCCTCTAAGGAAAATTCCCAGTGCATTCTCAGTTCCGTAGCGTCCAGTGGTGTGGGTTTGATTGTTGGTCGATGGCACTGGTCCCAGGAGAGAGGGGTATTAGTTCAGTTTATAGATGAAATCATGTTGACATGTGGAGGTTCACAGTCATTTGTTGAACATGGATGATCAATCGTGAAAATAGTTCTGCCAAGAAAGTACGCTTTCACAGCTAATGTTCGGCTGCCTGAATTGAATGGATCAATAACTGCTGCATTTAGTTGGAATAACAAAGACTGCTACAGTGACCGTATTCAAAAAGAATTCAATAACTCACAGCTTTACGGCGACTAAGAATATGATGTGCGAGCAGAGCTGCAGTTGGATTTTTGTTTAAGGCCTTTCCGAGCCTTGGGACGTCCTTGGGACGTGAAAGGCGCTATACAAATGGAATTGTGTTGCTGCTGTTGTTGTTGTTGTTTGATCGTCTAAAGGGAAAGTGCAGCCCAGACATAACTCAGCTTTGGTAACCAGTCAAAGTAATAATAATATAGCGCCTTTCATATGACAAGGTCATCTCATAGCTCTCCATTGGATTTACCATCAAACGTGGTGAATGTGTGTTCATTGGCAAGTACAGCACCCAAGTTGCACACAGCAATCAAATGATACAGCCATAAAATGAATAACACATTTTATTTGATGGGTTGTTGGTCAGGACACCGGGAAAAACTCCCTTCTCTTTTTGCATAGTTCAATAGAATCTTTAACAGGCAGGTGGGACCTCGGTTTAAACGTCTCAGCCAAACAACGGCACCTCTGACAAAGCAGTGCTTTTTCCAGCACTGAACTGGATTGTCCACCTGGACTGTGAGACTAAAGTCCTGATGTACGACTTGAACCTACAACCTTCTGACACAGAGGCGAGAGTGCTGGCTCTGAGATGCCATCCGGGGTGGAGGGCGCTATATAAATCCAAGTTGTTTGTTTGTTTGTTTGTTTGTTTGTTTGTTTGTTTGCTGGGGTGGCCAACAATCTAGCAAAATAAAATAGTTAATTCACTTCATGGCTGTTTACCGGCACCTTGAAAGGCGCTCTACAAATGTAATCTTGTTGTTGTCGTTGTTTGTGGGGCAATGCTGTTTGCAGAACGGCTGCCGCGTTGGCCTACAGATACACAGTCTCCGCACTTTAACATAAATCCTGTGAAGCAGTTCTAGACGTCTTGACAAGACGGTAAAGCACTGTAACAAATGCAAAGATTCCTCTTATCGCCAATAATTAATATCCATTATTACCAGACTGATATATCTATGCAAAGGGAAATAAAATCTGCACACCTTACTCATTCTAATTCCCTTAGAACGTTCCTTAGAACTAATTCCCTCCTCTTTTCTGCATTCAAAAATGCAATCAGTCACAATTTTCCCCCAATATTTTCTTCACCTCTCAGGAAGGTTGTAACTTGTCCTAGAATAATGTTGCATAATCACCATCAACCGTTACCTCACAGTTGAAGATCACTGGCCAGCAAAAAAAAACATGTGCCCATTGCATCCCTTTCTCAGTCCAGGAATGATGAGCTGAGTTGCATTAATAATAATCTTTGCATTTGATATGGAGCCTTATCACGTCTTCGAGATGTCTCAGAGCACTTCACAGACTACTGCTACGTAAGCAGAGGCCGGTGGAGTAAGGAAACTTGCCTGACATTTCGCCATGTCGAGAATTGAACCCAGGTCTCTCTCTCTCGCTTGGGAAATGACTGCTCTAACTACTGAGCTACAGGACTCGACTGCAACATATCATGACTTCACTGTATGAGATCATTTAATTCTACACGAGTCAAGGAAGTGAAGTCTGAGACATTCTGACCTGATGGCACAGGAGACGGCACTGGGCACTCAGTAGATGAATCGTTCGGAAGCAATGTTTAATTTGTTCGAATAATCATTCATGGGGATGAGAGAATGTTTTTGATTCTCCATTCATGTTAGCCCGATGGCCCATTTAATAACTGAATTGTGCAGATTAGGAAGCGCCCAATGTCATCTAATGCTGAATTAGATGAGCTCAGATCTCATGAGTTCCAAGACATTGCCTCATCACCTCTGGGATAAGGAGGAAAGAAAAATCAGTGGAACATAGAACAATACACCACACTATATATATACAGGAGAGGAAAGGCCACTGAGCTCATTATGTCTGTGGTAGCTCTTGATCTCTCTATATAATACATAATCGAATTGCCGATTGCTTTCTGGGGGTAATAATCTTTCAAAAATAAATAAATAATAAATAAACAAACAATTTATAATAACTTGATCATTCCATACACAACTATTTGTGGGACACTGCAATTGGCTGCCGCGTTTTGCCCACAAAGTATACAATTCACTTTACAGTATATTCCGTGAAGCGCTTTGAGATGTCCCAGCAATGTGATAATAAGCAGTGCTACATCAAATGCAAGGATTATTATTATTATTATATTATTATCCGGTAATCTTTGCCGCTACATGTAGCAAAATGGCTTCCGAATTGTACCTAAATTTACGAACCGGCCATAAACCTACCCAATCTTCAACTGTAAATGTTCTTAGATGAAAGGAAACGTTGGGCATCGGGTGTGGACACAATTGGGCTTTGGAAACCCCTCCTTGTCTATCGTCAAATAAAACGCTACAGTCGCTGTCCATCTTACACGTGCAGATTGGGCATTTGGTCAAGTACTGGAGGATAGGCAACGCAATGGGACCATAATCCAACTGAGAGTCAACTTATCCAGAAATCACAAGAAGATACACTAAGGACTGGTTTCATGGTGAGTGTAACATTGCGGAGATGAGAGCTGACGGTGTGCACCCAACTGCAAATAGCGGTTTTGTTTTTTATTGTGACTTATGATGGGAAATCCCAATTTCACCGAGTAATGAAAAGGTCTCTGATTTTAATGATCAGCACTGTACACCCTGTAGACTCTACGGAGTTGAAAAGGAGATAGCACTTCATTGCATTTCACGCATTTCCACATTGAGTAAGAAAGTAAATGTGAAAAACTACTACTACCGCAGAGAACAGAGGGTAACATTAAGGTGCAACTGAGGCATGATGGCAATGTGTTAAAGCGCAGTATTGCTGAATTTCTGTCATCTGGGATATTGCTACAGTTTGTCTTGTTTAAAAATATGAAACAGAATGGAAGCAAAACAATTTTCCTGTTTTGTTTTGCTCAGTGCCGAGTTACAGAAAATCAATTCAGTAAACGAAAAAAACGAGGAGAGTGGTGCATTGGGTTCTGAGAAATACATAACTAGCTTGTCAAGAAGGGTGACATTTCAACCCAAATTACCTTTTGTACGTGATCTTAATGGTACTCAATGGGAATGGTGCATGACTTGGAACACCCAATCAATATGCAACTACGCAGGGTGTTCACAAAGCCTTGTTACCCCCCCATGTCTTTGTTTTTCTACAGTATACTGACCAACAACTGAAATATGTGGAAGACTGATGATAATTGTATTTAGAAGTACTTAATCGCATTCAGTACAAGTGCTTAACCGTGTGTTTTTTTTTGTATTGTATTGTATTGTATTGTATTGAGATTTCCAATACAATACAATAAGATCGGTGCGTGTGAGCGCCATGATATTCATGGCAGACGATGATCCATTGCTGCGTTCGACGTCTTCCGTGTCACGGATGGACTGACGAGGAAGTTACTGGTATCATGCGTTGTTGCACTCATTTCGTCTGCAACAGTAAGTAAAAATTCAGTATAAGAAAGAGAAACATGGGGGTAACAGGACTTTGTGAACGCCCTGCTCTATCCGACCATCGTCTTAATGTTTACTGATACAACTACTCCCTACCGCCTTAGCACTTCCCTCTTCAACCACGCTTTCAATCATCTCTCCCCCCCCCCACCACCCCTCCTCAGCACCACTCCCCTCGACCCCCATCCCCACCCTACTTGGATGGCCAGTCAGAAGTTAAAAAGCGAGGGAGGGAGAGCAGGTTTATTCCACACCATCCAACAAAGGGGGCAAAGTCGTGCAGTGTAAATGTTACGTTTCTGGAAAGGAAACACAAAAATATTGCTTATGCAGCCGCGAATGTTTCTCAAATGGAGCTTCTGCCCCCCACCCCCCCACCCTACTCACCCCCCATCCCCTGGCAGCCAAAAGGTTGGACCACACTGCTTTAAACTGTCAGCCCATTTTGTTTGTGTGTGTGTCGTGGAATGGGTCTGAATCCACAAGTGCAACGTTAGGATGATTTTCTAACATCTCCAAACAGCTTCATACGGTGAGATATTGCGTTGTTCACACACAGTCGAGATGAGACCCATTGAGCCTGCATGAGCACTCGCTCCAAGCAATACAGGCCCCAACACCCTCCCTCATTGCAGCGCATTGTCAACCTAGACAACAACAACAACAACTTGGATTTATATAGCGCCCTTCACACCAGACAGCATCTCAGAGCGCTTCAAACAACTCACTTTAGACAGTGAGTTCAAAATCCTAACCTAAGCCTTGACCCCCTTTTTGACTCCGAGGCTAGAGTGCTACTAACAGAGCCAGGCTCACAACATCTATTTGTTGAGAAAGGGGGTTGAGGGTTACAGAGGCAGTAACAGCTCCGATCGAGCTCAGGGAAGAGAGCATAAGTCGAGAGAATGTCTTGGGATCAATGGCCAATGCTTGTTGGATGGTCCACTGCCCAACCCCTCACACTCCCCAATGTCCCCTCACACTCCCCAACCCCTCACCGTACTGACTCCTTCCTCCGTAGTCATGCGGTATGTCTCTTACCCCGAAAGGCACACATAATATTATAATTATTTGCACGCTCTCCGCATTACATAAGGGTTCTATTATTCAGTGCGGTCTGTCGCGAAACCACTTACGGTGGCATTTTGAGATCTTGCTGCCTGATTGTTCATGACAAAGTTAATTATAGAGTTTAAGTGGGTTTGTACAATTACTTTGCAAACAGTCTTGTATTCTTACAGTGTTTTTTTTTCCCCCCCCCTAACACAACATTTTTCGTAGTCAATAACATTCAAAACTGATACTTAGAGCAGTGATCTGATGTTATAGTGCGGTGTAATTTAATCAACCTGCCTCCTCTTTGGGCTCGTTCATTTTCCACCGCCTTCATCTCGAAAATGTAACCCTTCCCGAATAAAGCTGAAGAATCGAGACCGTAGGAAACTGCGGTAATCTTTGATGAATTCCGACAAATGAAAATTGCAATATTTATTATTTTATTAATTTATTTATACTTAATATTAAAAAAAATCCTCTTTGAATCCCCAAGTGAAAATTCATACAGGTTTACGGTCGGTCTGCCCTTGAAGACCATTGTCAAATGCGATGTAAAAGCCTTCACAGGAATTCATCTACGAAATACTATCCCATCAGAGTTGCTCCGAAATAACTCTCAGGATTTTAGGATCTTGCGGGAAATTTAAATAGAATATCTGATGGGACACCAAACTGAGCTCAACCCTTAGGTTTTTTGTAGAAAGCAGATTGTGAGCTGTGGGCTACAAAGGATATGTCACGTTGAAAGAGCCTAACGCCAGCTTTGCTTCATTGCCGTTTTCTCCGCTACATATCAGTGTGACAGTGTCTGTCATCTCATCCCCTGTGGGCACCTATCCTGTGTGTTAGATTAACAGTTACCCCGTGTAGGAGGCATATTGCAGAGGGAGTGGTGATACAGTAGTTACCATATTAAAGGGAAAAACAATTCCAGGAGTTTCAATCGCAATTTATTATCGTATTTATCACAAGTCACCGTCCTGTCAACCCCAAAATAGGATTCAAATGGCAAATCCTGTTATTATGTCTACGTAAATATTATATAGATATATATACGGGTTACAAGTATGGCATTTCAAAAGAATGGTGAAAATGGATCATAGCAAAAATCGTCATGAAATTTGAAAAAAATATTTGATTGATTTCACCATTCTCTGCTTGCTATTGAAATATGTAACCTTGAGTGCGCTAACGTCTATTCTTAAACCTTTCTAGTTACCCGTTCTGCGGTTAATCACTGCCTGGCATGTTTGCCGCAGGGAAAAGCATGCAACAAGTTTCAATTAGATATGGAATAAGGGATGGGAGCGGTCTATTAAAACCATTTACTGGGAATCCTGCAAAAAGGGGCTCCTGTGAGCCTGTCTTAACATTTCCGTACAGACACGGATAGATTTAATGTTTATTATTCAGGCCTTTCTAATCTGCAGCATGTGAATCTATTTTTAACCCTTTCGTGATCATGCACGACTTAATACCGTTGGTCCATTTATTCGGTCAGCGGCTTATGAAAAAGGGGATTGCGGATAAACCTCACACCATGGAAACTGTACGTGCTTTTCCGATGGTTTATTGGGTGAATGTACAGACCAGGCTGTACGTACTGGTAGATTTCAGTTCAAAGCATAATCTGTGGCGAGTGAGTTGACTTAAGCAGTGGCAGGTTATCAGGTTGGTCTTCGACAGAGATACATTTGAGCGGGTTACGGTCTATTGTGACACTGGAGGACTATAACAGATCAATTGAGACCTGTCCAAATGGACGTCTTGTGCAACAGTGTGCGCAGTGTCTTACCCCTGAAAGGGATCAGGAGTAAAAGCTTTCTCAGACACAGAAGGTGCTTCAAATTAGAAAGCGTCACAGTGCACTGAGCTGACAACCAAAGAAAGTGGCTACAGAGCTTTGAAGCAAGCTGATTTGCCCAGACGGGGTTAGTCTGTTAATAAGAACTTTGCTGCTTTTTGAGACCTTAGGATTGATTTCAAGCCGGCATCTTGCGAAGCATTTCTTTTTGAGCTGACTTCGGTCCGAGCTACTGTGCTAACGTTGGAGGTCAGTATCATCCCTGTGTCAGGTGAAAAGATTTTGTCCGCATGTATTTTGACTGCATTTTGTTCGACCAGGTGATACTACACTCCCTCCCGCCCCTACAGAACAGCGGACAATGAGACAACAGAGACGATCTGGGAAAGAACAGCTCAAACAAATGAATTGACTATCGTGACTGTGACTGATGGCACTCCGAAATGCGAATCTGCACACAGTATCCCAGTGAGAGGCCAAAGAGTCATATTCATTATAAAATGTGGCAGATACAGATATCGAGATGACAGATGGATAATGGAGGCAGATGATCATCTCATCTGTCTGGAGTGGTCTGTGGCCCTTGTGCTCTGAATATCACCAACTCAAGAGTTACAAGAGATGTACACACTATGTACCCTATAGTGATGTACACGATTTGAAACAAGATCGAACAAGTAAAACCAGGAACATTATTTTCAGATCCACCAAGGCAGGAGAGCGACAGAACACGGGGTTGAGTACTGCAAAGGGCGATTTAAGGACAGACACGGGGCAAGTAATTCTTTAACCAGGTGGTAATTACTGAGTGGATCAGGAAGGGCTGTCGAGGCAAGGACGATACATGCAATTAAAGACAACAACTTGATTCTGTGATGCAGAGACAGTAGGGTATTCTGGAAGGATGAGATTAAATAAGTTGAAGGGCTTTCTTCATGTAAACAGAACTCGTGATTGTGGTCTCGCGAGTTAGGTTACTTAAAGATTTGCCCATGCCTCCTCTGGTTGGTCAGCACGTTAAGCAGAAAGTATCGGGCTCGCATACCCCTGGCATGTCCCAGGTTTAATCTCAGGTCAGCGCTGAGCGAGCTGAGCTCTATCGTGGCACTGAGGTTACCGCAATAGACCTCAGCAATGAGAGAAAAGTCGCCCAGGTTTGCTGCTCCTGATACCGACCTGATGAATCATGGGGTAGAGGCACATATGTAGGGATACTGGGCGAGGACAGGATTGTACCCAATCCATTTCAACCCTTTCCCAGTGGTTAAATATCCTGCCAACACTTACTGTCGAGGCTCCAACATAAACAATGGTCAATTGGGCGACGTACCAGAGGGCAGTTGGCGATGAAGGGCGGTGGTGATCGGTATGGGGCATGAAGCCATTCCCCAGTAATAATAATAATCCTTACATTTGATATAGCGCCTTATCAGGTCATCGAGACGTTTCAGAGCACGTCACGGGATATACCGTAAAATGAATTGACTAGGTTTTGTGGGCGAAACATACGGTCAATTCACTTTACAGTATTAAGTTTAATAATTTTACAGTACAAGGGCAAGAGGCAGACATCTTTATTTTCTCTGAATATATACGTGCTCTGAACGTTATTGTTAACCTCATATCAGACTATTCCATGTGCAAACACGGGAAGTGCATCATTCTCTGTAAATCTAGCTCCGCTGTTAATTGTGTATTGAACCTTAATGATTTGTTGTCACTTTCCTAATCATTACAGTGATGGTGTTTGCTGCTGAAATGGTTTTCTTGTTCATTTCCCTTTTATTATATGCCTCACGATAAAGTACATTACATATGTGGCTTTTTCTAATTGTAATTGTTCTGCTGATACTGCAATATACACAACATTTTCATAATAAGGGATTCTGGTGTACTAACGCAATCTCCAATAATTAGAAGAATATTTACCATTTCAGGGAGGCGTAGCAAAACGTAAGATAATTAATCACTTTATTGAAATAGCCTTTCAAACATTACAATGCTGCTTACTGTAAAGATCACAGCTCGGTCTGACACGCCAATGCAATGCCGGGATGTGTGCTGCATTGTCAGAGATGCCGTCCTTCAGATGAAAAGTTTGGGTAGATGTTAACGAT